TATATATATATATATATAAACCATGATTTAATCCAAAAACTGTTTCCACAGAAGGCGGAGACTTTGAGATTTAAAGATTGCCTAAATATCTGGAGAGCAAAGTTCCAAAGGACCATTTAGATTGAAATCAACAACAAGTCTTAAAGACGGGGTCATTGATTGCATATGGTGTGTACCCTCAATCCAGTTGCTACAGTTTTGTGTTCTGTTTCGTTCCTCTTCTTTCCTTTTACTTACATAAAAAGTTTCACTACAGATGCAAGCCACACTAGAGAAAATAACTCTTTCCAGATAAAGTTATTCAAGTCGTCGGACAAAAAGCTCATGTCATTTTATATCCCTCTGTGTTGCAGAAAAACAAAATTGTGATGTCAGTTTTTCCCCTAGCGTTGCATTATTTATATTCAAAATATTTTTCTGAGCTAAACGTATGCAGATATTATTGACCCAACCACTTGCATGCCTCTGTCCCTACACAGTGCTCGTTGTTGCATCAGTTTCTTCTCCCTGTCATCTCATTTCCGCACGTGTTCAATTACTGACCTTTTTTAATGCTTTTGTCCTTATTCATTTTCTATTCCACTCAGTTTCCTTCTGCTTTAGTCCTAAAACCACACTCCCTCTTGCACAGATGTCCTGTCTGCATTCTTCTCCTGTGAGGTCTTTAGATCAGTCCCTCGTGAGTGCTGTTTGACATGATAATCTATGCGATGGAGTTTGTCTACATGAACATGACGTATTGTGTGTTTTGTTAACTGCTTGTAAGTGTCTTTGACCGTGGATGCCCCGTGCCTCTCACGGTCCTGACATGCACTGCAGGCTTCACTGACATCCTCCCAGGCCAAGAGACAGTCTCTCCTGGGGAGGTCAGGGCCGAAGCTGGGTCAGGTCTGGGTAGGTGGAGATTTTGGCTCATCCAGTGGCTGTTGTGGAATGTTTGAGCCAGTTGCCAGGCAAAAAGGAAGGTTTTGATTTACCGTTGCGTCTTTCTAGCATCTTGTCGCAATTAGTGATGTCAGGAGGGAAAGAAACAAATATGAAGCCCTTCTTCAAAGAGAGAGCATTTCCTTCCTATGAGTTCATTCTTTCCTCGGGTTTCTCAACGAAAAGGGGGCAAAAGTACAGTCTCTTTCACATTGGTCAGAAAAAGATTTCAGGTCAGGGATCTTATCTGCAGGCTAATCAGGAAAAAAGTGGCACGATGACCAGAAAATCACATTTTTCATGTCCCCGTTAAGATCTGAACTTTTTCCTCCAATAATAAATATGACGACACCTCTGAGCTGCACCTCCGTTCTGCAGCTGGATGTCAGATCCTCTCATGAAACTCTATGATAGCTTTGTGTAACAGACTGCTTCTTTTTCATTTGCCTGCAGTATTTTAGATAATATGTCACAGTCCTCTAGTTTGTGAGGCCCGACTGTGTTCTTGCAGCAAGCAGTGCCAAGTTTCCCCACTCTCCTCCTGGCTCAAGGTATCCTATGCAGAGGCCATCTGTCTCTCCTAATGGTAAGGGTGGAGTCCCTTTTTTTTTTTCAAACACCTCCCTCCCCTCCTGTTTCCCCAAATGCTTTACTGTAAAACAAACAGAACATAGCACGCATGGAGTCTTGTTTCTTTGTGTGCCTAGACGAACCTTAAAGCTGACCCACGAAGACCGACACACGACAAACGGTAGCAGTTGGAGCTGCGTATCAGGTAGCTGTAGTATGCAGAGCATGCTGAGGAGAAACCTGGTCTGAGACACGTGTCTGCAAGCATCAATACCACGTCACGCATGCCAAGCACGTTGGTTTATTACTTAAACAACCTACGAAAAGGAGCATTTTTATCCATGAGTCGTTTTCATTCTTGGTCCAGTAATAGATGCAAAGTAAATCTTAAAGTTAATGTTCAGTTTTTTGCATTGATCTACAGTTGTCTTATATTTTTCAATTGAGTTGGGCAAATTGCGTGACAACATACAGTTGTCAGTGTCAGTTCAGACAATCACGGAGTGGAGAATACAAGACCCGCACGGCTCTGACCCTGGTTCTCCCCCACACCAGTGCACCCAAAGAACCCAGGGTAACACATGTGCTGCAAAACAGATTACAGCTCTGCCCACCTTTTTTTTTTCCAAGCAGGTCATGAATCAAAGGCTGAAAAAAGATGTAAACGGATGTTTAAATTATTGCGGGGATATAATGATCCAAAGTGACTTTTCCAAATGTCTTTTCAAGTGGATGACAAACAGGCCAGTTTGAGTTTACTGCTTTAAAGGGCAGCATGTTAACAGAACTGCAGAACTGTACTAGATAAGTGCGGCAATTAAAAGACAAACTTAACTTTAAAGAAAAACAATTCTCAATATCATATTTGAGCATGGAACTTCAAAACACATTGCCTACTTATTTAAATTTGAGCAGCTATTCAAACAGAAAGACCATTTTACACACATGGTCACACACTTATTTTTTATTTTGGGAGAGAGAAATTCTGCGTGCATGTGAGTGTAATCACTGAAATTACAGGGGACGTAACGGAGCACGGGGAGCCTCGGCCTCCTTGGTTATATTGCTCTCAAACCATGATAGCATTGCTGTGGTTTACCACTCATATTCGTGCCAAAGACTTGAAATACCAGTCAGTAGACCACTTTTATAAGCTTTACTCCATACACATCCGAGACTACGTACAAAGTGGAAATTTATGACTCCCAAATATAGCTTACTGTGACTGCAGCCGTGTCAAGAAAACTAAGATGTAATGCTTGAATATTTTTGAATGAAATCGCTTGCAGCAGCACTTCATCTCTTTTTCTGAAAATGAAAATATTTATCCGCGACGTTTAAAATGGATCTCCTCTACAATTCAGTCTGGACCAGTGTTATAAATCTTTGTTCAACCTTGAAAAAGTAAGACTATGTGTTTCTATCAATGAGTCATATGATTATTCTCACAAAAAAAACAAGAGGAAAAACAGACGAAGATGGATTCATTCCCAGCAACAGACTTAACCTGTAATTTAGGATTTATTTCAGGTTAGTTTTCCAAGATATGGCACACTCTACCGCCAAGTTGAATGTTTTGTTTTTGTTTAGTTTTTTTTTTCCAGCCACATTGCACGTCTGTCAACAGTGATCTCTCCAACTCTAGAAGAGTTGGGCAATATCATGATATAATTTTGACTGTTGTTGTCAGAATTAGACTCATAAACAATAGTTATACAGTATATTGGCTCCTGCTTCAGTGCATCATATTTAAAGCCACCAGCTCCTTTTGTTTGCCCTCTTAGCTGCAAATGAGACATAACTAAGTGCTAAATGGCCTATTTGAGGGCTGGAAAAATGTTTCTTGCTTTATTTACAATAGTTGTAATCTTTTACTTAGAAATTGTATTAGAAATAAAAAGCATTGAAAAAGGCAGCTAGTATCATTGCTTGAAAATAGATGAGTTTTTAACTTGATACAGTTCTTAAGACATGCCACATAAAACACAACAAAAACCATTTTCATTGTTTATTCTTTTAAAATGTACTTCATTTTTTTTCAGTTACCATTAGTCATTGTTGAACTTTCATTGTCTTTCTGGCTTTTCACATTCAGAGGGTAATTAATGTTCAAAGCCGAGTTTACATTGCTTTAAATCAGACAGCTACAAACCTGTGGTGGGCCTTGAGTCAAATTAGTAGCCTCATAAAAAAACAGAAATTAAAGCCATCAATTACTTTTTTGTTTCATCTCCTTCCAAGAATTTTTACCTGCTAGTTCAGAAGGTGCTCTGGTAATTAACAAGAGGAACAGTCTCAGTGTCCTGTGGTGAAAGTGTGTAGCTAGTTAGGAAACAAAGCGAAACACAAAGTCATGCACAGGAAGTCTGGTCTTTGAGCTTTTGAGGAAAGAAAAAAATGTGAGTTGCTGTGAAGAGAAAATTAGTAATTTTGGTATTTGTTTTCAACACGAGTTAGTTGTCTTTCTTTACAGGTGTAAGTTTTATCTCCTTTGTATAAGTTTTATACATATAGCAATAGCAATAATAAATTCTTGCTATTATTTATACAAATCTCACCTTTTGTTCTCTTTCCTCGGCAGGTGTGATTGGAAACGGCGTTTTTGTTCCTGCGAGAGTGAACGCGGTGCTGGGCAAGAACATCACACTTAGCTGCAGGATAGAGCTAGGATCTAACCTGAGTCTCACACAGATCTCCTGGGAACGCCGTCTTCCTTCAGGCACCATTAACCTGGCAGTGTTCAATCCCAAGTATGGAACCTCATATTCTCCAGATTACGGCAAGCGCATCTCGTTTGTTTCCCCTTCCGTAAGAGATGCCACCGTTACCCTCGAAGGAGTGACTTTTGCCGATGACGGACCCTACATCTGCAAAGTGGTGACCTTTCCTCTGGGCAATACACAAGCAACAGCCGTGGTTAATGTATTAGGTAAAGTATAAATCTACATCTTCAGTCACTACTGACTTGTTTGTTAAATAGTCTACTGTAACCACTTTAGGTTCAAACATTTAAACTATTCACTGTGAACATGGCATGAACACAGCAGCTGTAGAGGAGCCTCTGTTAATTTACCGCCCCCCAGAATTACTTTAAAAGGTACCTAAGTTTTAATTGTGCAAACTTTATTGCTGCTGGTTGGGAAACTTGGTTTAAACATTTCAGCAACTTTCATCTGCTCCTTTTAAACAGAACGAGGGAACGTCAGACCGTCCCAGTTTCTTAGTTACACGCAGCAACAAGTTAATTGCAGGGCGTGATTCGAAGCGAGTCTTGTTATGTTTAGTTGCATATTACCAACTTGTATGGAAATGTTTCACACGTAAGACTAGTCTTAAAACCTCAATCTGTAGCTCTTTTTGCAAGCCAGCGTAGGTTGTTAGTTGTTGGACCCTTTTTTCTACAGCTGTTTGATAGTCATACAATTGTAACTCTGACTTAGTTATTCTTACAAACCCAGCCTGTACAAAAACATTTAGACCACAACACTAGAATAAAAACTAAATAATCACACTTGTCAAGGCTATCTAGCATGGTGGGGGTTTGATTAAATTAAGCATTAATAATTCTTACCACAACACCAACAAGGAGACAGTTGAGTGCTCACTGGAAGCTATTTATTCATGCTAATTTCACTGCTTCAGTCCTCAGACAGCCTCCTGTACATCTGTGTGAAGTCCATCTTTTTGCCTGTGGATGTGTTTTCTGTTGTTTATATTGCTTAATAGTTTCCTGAAATGATTCATTAGATGGGATCATTTCTGTTTGTCCTAAACTAGAGGTGGTGTAGGATACAGGATTGTGGTCAGGGTATGTTTCCAGTTTTAGGTAGGAGACAGCACTGTAGGCAGCATCTTCTTGTCTCCCTTTAGAGACCGAAGGAGACTTTCCTGTCTAATGAGCCACGCGTTAAGTGTTGCTGCAACAGCCAGTGTCTGAGACCTCAAAGAGTTCAATTACACCTCACTGTCTTCTCTGAGCAGCTTTGCAGACATCTTTTCTGTTCATACAAACACACACCTTCTTTACAATTCAGATGTAATTAGAGTGTGATTATGGAGGAAGCATATGTTCTTTGCAATCTGATACACATCATGAGGGAATTAGGTTGTCCTGCATGGTATTTAAAACATAAACCTGCCGACTGAATGCCACTAAGTTTTTTTAATGTTCCCAAGTGGCCTCCTCTTCCTCTGCTGTTTTTTTTTTTTGTTTTGACTTGTGTTTTGAAAAAAAAAATTTTTTTATCGTAATGATGCTCATAATTCCACTTCAACAAGGTGACTGTGACCCAACAAGAAAATCCCAGAGGATCTGTGGATAACTTGTTTGCAGATGAGAAACATCTGATTCCCCTCTTCTGCTTGTGTCTGTCAAACTTTAGTTTTGTGGTTGTAAAATAAGTGACCATACTTTGAAGTGCGTGACATTTTCTTCTTTTTCTTTGTTACTTATCTTCTTGTTGGATACTTGGATTGCTCTTTTGGGCTCAAATAGATACTGCAGTAGAATGAAAACATGTTTTTTTAAATGTCAAACATGCTTCAACAAAGTAAATACCCCAAATAGAGCTATGATTCTATTATCTCAACTATTTAGTATGCAGTCTACAAAATTTGATCTTTTACTCCAAAGTGTATTGCCTTTTTTATTTTTAACGAAGTTCGTTTTTTTTTTTTTTTTCCTTTTTTATCTGAGCTGGAGATTTCTGCTTTGATTCATGTTTATACTTTGAGGATTATGAAAAGCACATGACTGCCTTTCCATTCCTTTTAAACTAAAGCAAAACCATTAAACATGTAAACTCATGAGCAATAGACTAAAGTCACGACACGCACATTGTAATGATTAACAGGTGCAGAGTATACTGCTTCAAATTCAGAAGTCACACTCTATACAAACATCTGCAGCAGAATCATGACAAAAAACATGTTTGCTTTTATTTAAGCTTCCTGGACTAATTTTCATCTTTATCTTCAACAATTCACAGGAAAGTTCAAATGACTTAATGAACACATTAGCTGGCACCATGACCAAAATCCTAACGTGAGAGCAGGAGGAAGGAAGCAGGAAAATATTATCCAGAGTGAATGAATAACAATCCCTTTGTTTTTGACTACTGACAGGTCAATGAACATCTACTGAGCAATTGTTTTTCAAAACAAAACACAAGTAGTTTTACAAATGAGATTTTGCCGATAAACTCGGAGAAATGATTATGACAATGAAACAGTATTCATATCTGTCTCAGAGCCGACTCTTAAGCCTCGTTGTTTAACGAGTCAATAACTGGAGCGTTGAGCGACACAGAGAGGTGGTTTTAAGTTGCTTAAAATCTGATGAGTGTTATGCTTTCCACGCCATAAAGCAATTTCATTTCTGCTTTCAGTCTATTGAAATAAGGCAGGGCTTCTCTATAAGTTCTTTATGAGTCAGAAAGCTATAAATAAATGTTGCTATGGATCAAATATTTTGTTTTGCAAACTGCAAATTTTTATTATTTTTTTTTGCAAAACAAACAAACATTGCAACCAACTTTAACAAGCAACGTTCCTAATGTTTCTTAGTCATTTGGAGCTGAGATGCACAATCTGTTTAGTTTTATTACTTTCAGTTTGTTTCGAAAGCAGTACAGTTGTTGTTTAACTAGCTTTTGAAAAGCTCCCTCTCTTGCTTCTCTTATTAGTTTAAAATGTGCATTATACTCTCAGTAGGCGTGCAGACAAAAACGACTTGCTGAAGGGAAATTGTTGTCGTTTCCCTCTGAACAAGTTTCCATTCACCCAAACGGCTTATTCCTCTTACTAACTGCAGCCCCTAAATTAACACGTCTGTCTGAATCAGTTATTCTGATGTTTCAGCTGGCCACCCTGCCAACATAGAGCAGCTTCTGTTTAAATGTCACGGCCTGCGAGGAGGGGCAGAGTGAAGAATGCGTGGTGGAGTCCTGCAAACGACAACCACGCCCCTGCTAAGGGTACGCGAGACGGCGGGTTATTTTTAGAAAATAAAATAGTGGGGGAGCAGGGCAAGGGTGCTAGCAGTTCCTTGGGTTCGTTGTGGGACCTTGTGCTTGGCTGGTGAGGAGGAAGAGTGCAGATGTCTTAAAGATGTTGGCCATGTTTTGTGGATTACGAGGGCGCATGCCCCCACGCACCGCCTTTAAAGCTGTCACAATTGCAGCATGTGGAAAAACTGCTTGTTGGATCTTTTTTTTTTTCTTTTTTCTTTACGAGGAGTAGGTGGTTTATTGCAACACAAAGTGGAATTAAATCAAACAGAAATGTTAGCGGGTAAAACCCGCACTTCTTGTTTACTTCACTCCCCCTCCAGTGTGTCCTCACCTTCTTCAGCTTAAGTTTTGTTCCTGTTGGCCGAACATTCTCACCTGTCATTGCTATTTGTGATATGCGTGGTCCAGTCCCCCCACCCCTTTACCCCAGAGCAGTGTAAAATAATTAGCTTGTTTCCACAGAAGGTAGAGGGTCACATTGTTCTGCTCACATTCCTTTCACATGGTTCTGTTTTGCTTCACTGTTGAGAAAATCCCTGCAACATCTGAACGTTGAGTCACTCTCTGGGGAACGGGTTGCCTCTGCTCAGGAGCAGTGAGCAGTTTAAGGCGATTCAGATCTTCATCCTCCGGTACAACAAAGGCAAATATAAACACGGGGCAAAGATGGCTGCAGCTTCAGATCCTGAAATAGTGACTGATTTTTCTCAGGATATTCACACCTCACACACTGATGGACTTTACAGGAAACACATCAGAAAAGCAACATGTGTCGACATCACCGTGTCTTGAACTTGCTTTCTCCTTGGCACACAACAATAAAGACATTTCCTCTTAAAACCCCATTTATAACTGGGATAGAGCGGGTCATTCATTTTTAATGTGTTTACAACAGGCGAAATGAAAGAAATCAATTTGTGCTCTTTTGGCAGTTAAGTACACAGAGGCCTCTGGACATTATTTATTCATGCATATACAGAAAAAGATCAATAACATTTGTTTCATTTTTTTCTCTATTTTGTCATTTCTTCCCCAACCACCTTTTTTTAAATTCACGCTTTCACAAACAGTGGCGCCGAAAGTGTACGTGTCGGCGGGCCCAGCGGCCCTGCTGGACGGTGGCGACGAGTCACTGGTGGCTACCTGCATAGCGGAGCGCGGCCGCCCCACCGCCGAGGTCTTCTGGGAGACGGAGCTGTACGGGCGGTCCGAGAGGCAGAACCAGGATGAGGCCAACGGCACCACCACCGTGCAGGTGCGCTACATGTGGCAGCCGCTGAGCTACGCCCAGGGGAAGACGCTCACCTGCGTGGTGCGCCACCCGGCCCTGCAGACAGAGTTCCGCATTCCCTACAAGCTGAACGTTCACTGTAAGTGCCGCCGATCTGTCTTTTATTTGTCAGATTGATGGCAACGACCGACTTGGTTCATTTTAAATGGTAGCAATTATATTGGTGAAACTAGTTTTCTAAATTGTTGCAGCACATGTTAACTGTAGAACTGCTGGACTGTCCCTGCACTAAACTGCCCACTAATTATTCACCCGCTTCAGATGTTATCATCCATTAAATGGACGTTATTAGCCGTTATCAGTCCCATAGAATGGCTTCAGACTGTTAGCTGGTTAGTATCTGGTTAGTATGAGGCATAAAGCCACTACGGTTAATTTTAGAGAAAATGACATTGGCTACGATAAAGTAGACCGAACTCTGGCAGTAGCAGATTGTTGCATTCCAACGTATATGGCACTGGTTACCCACTAAGGGGTACTGTCAGGACAGTCTGAAGCCATTCTATGGGACTGATAACCGCTAATAACGTCCATTTAATGGACTGATAACATCTGAACCGGCTGAATTATTGTTCCTGTGTGCTGTATTTTGTGAGACTGCAGTGATGTTTAATTGAACTTTCCTGAAACGTTTTTGTCTTCTTCACACCCAAATCAGCAATTTAAGAGTCATTTTAATTTGATTTTGTCAAGAATACTGAGGTACTCTGTCAACCAGCAGAACCTTAGTCTATGTTCGGTGTGAGTGCAGGGCTAATGAAGGTAATTTATGAAATATTGATCAGCTCTCAACAGCAACATAAGTAGCGCGAGGCTGCTGGGGGCAGCGAATGGAGACGCACAAAAACCAAGGTTAACACAAGAAGAGAGACGCTCTCTCGTTCAATAAATCATGTCAGATGCAGAGCCAAGGGATTTTAAGTGCAAAAGATGCACAATTCTGATGTTGAGCTGTGTGAAACGGGTTCAGTGAACGCCGTCACATCTTCTCACAGAGTGAATGAGTTCCTTTTATTTCCTCTTGAGAAATCAAAATGGAAAATTAGATATCTTAGTCGGTGTTTGCCGTGTTTTATTGCAGGACCGTGTGCTGGGCTTTGAGTTTATATTGTCTGCAGTTCATCTGCTCTTTTTGAGAGAGTCTTTTTCTAACTTTACACCAACCCAGGATTATTTGTTTACTCTCCTGACTCCCTTTAACCAGGAAGTCTCAAACCCTGTTACCATCCTGCATATCTTTTGTTCGGTCATCACAAAGTACCGCTTTTATAGCAAAACATGTTATCATTGCAAATTCTGCAGCATTTTAAATAAAATTAACTTTTGTTTTTCAGTTGCACCGGTTATTTCAGTACAAGGGATTGAAAAGAACTGGTATGTTGGCCAAGCAAATGTAAAATTCACCTGTGCTGCCAAAGCCAACCCACCTGCTCGTTCCTTTACGTGGATCAGGTCAGTATCCTCCAAACTACTCTGAAGCTTTCACCATCGTTTCTGTCATCTCAGTGAGGACTTTTCTCCACAGCATTTCATAACGCCGCCAAACTTTTTATCCCCAGACACCCATGCTGTGTGTTCATGCTCCATTGTTTCAGAAACCTCTGGATTCAAATAAATAAAGCCAATACAAAAACATCTTAAATGTTTTTCACAATCAAACCTCTGGGATACTTTTAGAATTGTCAAAATTTGACATTTTTTTGGAGATTGTTACCCAGTGTAGTGTTAGCTGGTGACTATTTTGTGTGACTTAAGTTTATCGTTTTAGATAAATTTTATAAAGCCATGTTAGAGTCACACAATCAAAGGTAGCTCTTTGTAAATTTCATTCACAGCCAGAAACATCAATGTTTTTCTGCAAACATCTTGATTCAGATGTTTGGAGTCACTGGAATGTTCCTATAATCAAACAAAGCGGCTCCGTCTCACAGACGGCCCCAAATACTGATTAGAAAACTGTTTGCAGCCCTTCAGAAGAAAAAGAGTGTAATAAAACGCTCCGAAACATACATTCACACAATGCTTTATATTTAGAAGTTCTCTCCTGTTGCGTAACGTGGTCATTAAAAAGCTTTTAGATCCACAGTTGCAACTAAACTCTCACGCTGAAGGATAATAAAGGCTGAATAAACTGCTGATAGTTGAATTTACAGGCCACTACTCCAAGTTATTTGGTCAGAAATATCCATATATATTTCTGTTTTTATTATGAACAAATGAAACTTATTTGAATAGCTTAAATTAGTGAATTTAACACGAACACATCTGCTGTTTGGTGCTGGAGTCACTCAGAACGGGGTTTAATAAATCTAAATGAAGCAGTAAAATTGAGTGGCTCGTGTCTATAAATTACCTCAGTATAACTTTGGAGCTCGGATACTGGAGCTGTCGAATGTTTCTCTGCGCCCTTTGGGGAGACTCCCTGCTATAAATAAAGTTTCCAAACAGTTTGTGCATCAGAGTGACTTGAGCCCATTGGCAACTTTTTGTCATCATCTAGCTTTGAGGATGAGAAATGTGTCATTTTGGCACAAAGTCTGGACTTCTAAGGTTTTCCTATTATCTAAATGTGAACCGTCACATCAAAATGAAGATAAAATCATGAACTTGTATATAGAGATATAGACAGCTATAGTGCATTGGTTCCTGATGAATGTTTTGACGCACTTTTCTCAGCAGTACCAGCAACTAACCACGATTTTGAGAAGAAAAGCCGTACAGTTTTGCTTCTTTTCCTGCTCGCTAGAGAAGCTGTGAAATCTCAATTTTCAAATATTGTTTGAAGTTTCCTCTTTCAAATGACATCAAAAAACCCTGAAATAAAATAAGGAAAAAAAACTGTATTCAGATAGATTTTTCAGGGTTTATCTCAAAGAAAAAGACAAATATATTTCTAGAGCTCCTTTATAAAGGACTGAAACATCAGAAATCTGAAAATGTGCTTAAGTTTAGTTTGACCAAATCTGACTTTAATATTTGGTTAAATGTATTGGGTCACGCATTGAAATCAACATCATTTAAAATGCTTTTCTGCTTGACTAATAAAAGCGCTCAAATGATCAGTCAGAAATAGCCGAGTTAACACCAAATGGCAGTGGTCCCCAAACTACGGCCCGGCCCGCCTCCCCATTTGGTCTGGCCCCAGAACAATACCAGAGAGCATTTAGTTATTTTTTTTTCATATATGTGTATTCATACACTGCTGAAAAAAATAAAGGGAACACTTAAACAACGCACGCTAACTCCCGATCTTAATCAATGAAATATTCTCATTGAGTACTTTGTTCTGTACAGAGTTGAATGTGCTTCACAAAAGTCTGGTTTACTTGGACTTAGCGTGTATTGTTTAAGTGTTCCCTTTATTTTTTGAGCAGTGTATTTGATTATAAAGTTGGACTTTTGCAATAAAATGTTCCTTAGTTATGAACTATTTTCATTATTAACTATTATTAGTTAGTAACTATTTCATACATACACGCACATAACGTGACATTCTGTTTCACCCTTCTGCGGTCTGTGCCCCTATCTGGCAACCCCCAGAAAAAAAATCCTAAACCCGTCCCTCTCAAAGAGAGAACGGAATAATGGTGAAAAGATTAGGTAAGAGAAAAATTGATTCAGAATGCAGGGCATTTAAGCTGCAGTGGACAAACGATTATTTTTTTGTTCATCTGTAAAGAGGTGGTAGCGGTATTCAAAGAATACAATCTGCGGCGACACTATGAATCCTGTCACAAAGACAAGTATGATAGTTTGCAAGGTCAAATGCGAGCAAACAAACTCTCAAAGCTAAACGGTGGACTGTTAGCTCAGCAGAATACATACTGTGAAGAACCCAGAGAGGGTTATTTGATTGTGCTTTCTGGAAAACAATAMATTTTTACATTTAGGCACTCCTGCAATAGTCACACTTTTTCTGTTACAAACTGACTCCGGCCCCTCACCAGAGAAGGGAAAAGTTATGTGGCCCTTACAGGAAAAAGTTTGGGGATCCCTGCCATTTAGCATGAGACTTGTACATTTTTTTTTATTATTATTGCAGATGAAAATGTCATTTTACTATCATAGCTTGTGTGTAAAATAATTGTCTTTTCTCTGTTTCTCATGCTCTGAAAACAAAACGTGTCTGATTCCGTGTTCAGGTTGGATGGGTTGGTTCCTGACGGTGTTGAGATCTCAAACACCAGCCTTACTTTTACCCGCCGGCTGCAGCGCAACGATTCTGCCATCTACCGCTGTGAAGTGACGAACGACGTTGGCCTCCGCAGCCGGGACGTGAATTTCTGGGTTCAAGGTACTTTTGACCCTTTTGCCCCCCACATAGTTTTATTAAGTTTGACTACAGTTTTAGCTATCTGCTAACTTAAGTAACCTTTTAACAATCAGCATCAAAAAGAGCTTGTTTCCTTTTTGCATTCGTAAACTCTCATAGAAGATCAAATCTTCAGGCCACAGATCAAGACTTTTAAAGGAGTTAAGCCTTTATATAAATATAAATATCCCTGTCCAGATCTACTTTCACACATTCCTGGCAACAGAGGAGCACAGAGTTCAGATAAAGAGTATCAGTACCAAACATTTCCACTGGTGTGGCTTTGGCAACATTAGATGTCTCCGATAAGGAAGAAGGTGTTTACTCTTTGCTGATTCAGCAAAGTATGCACCCATGCAGCCTTTTTACTGTGCTTTGTTAAGCTTGGGTTTCACAGCGAAACGTAATGAATTGTGTTCACGGATTTGCAGCACACAGATGTCTGTGTTTATAACCCAGAAAAATGTGTTATTCAGCAGTATGTTGTCTTTAACAGCTGCGCTGCCCACAATTATCAAATCATGTAGCTTAATCCAACACCTTATAGATTAAACTATGAAGTAATCTGAGAGGCAACTTGCTGAGTCATCAAACAGACTTTCCTTGCATTTATGTTTGTTTGTTTTTTATCTTGAAATATAATGAACTCCTCCTGTCTGCTTCCTGTGTCCTTGTTTGGTGAGTCTCCTTCCTCTTTTTTTATGAAGCCAGGGTGTGGATCCTGAGAACTCTGCATCTCTCTTTTTTTATTTCCTTCTCTGCTACTTTCAGTTCTTTCCCAAACAAAGTGAGGGCTTCTTTTGGACACGTTTTCTTTTTTTTTCTTTTTTTACCCTCACAGTGTAGTTCCTCACTGCTGGAGTCTTAAAACAGGCCGTCCAGATCTGTCTGTGTTCAGGAGCTGCTCTTCAAATGAAAGCCCAGCTGACATCTTGTCCAGAGTGGACTTGCACCGAACAATTATCATGTTTCTCTTGTCAAATATTGAGTCCTGGGCATGCATCCTCTTGCCTCTCTTCCCTGTGGAGTTGACCAGGTTGAGCTCAGTAATGCCCCTCCACCCCTCTTGTCTGCTAGCTGTAAGCCGTTTCACATTTCCCGATGTCTCCTCAAGCCTTGTAATTTCTGACTGCTCGTCTTTCTCATGATCGGCTGGGCGGTTGTAGAGTCTCATTCCCGACGTTAGGTTAGAATGTCCCGCTGCAGTGTTAGAACGACTGGGACTAAAACAGAAGCTGGTTATTTTCTCTCACGTCTTTGCTGTTTTTCTGAGTTTTTAGTCTCTCACATGGTAATTCTAGCTGATTTCATTCTTTTTAAATTAGTTCTGGATTAAAGATTTTGAAAGCGATTTTAAAAAAATGTCTCTTGATAAACTGGACAGACATTGTGAGCCGTGTGTAAACTTATTGGATAGCGTTATTAGACTTTCTCTGTCCTGCAGACTGCAGGTCAGCATGGAGGCCAGTGCCTCTCCGGCTCTGGCTGCTGTCAGAGAGCTGGACACCGGAGGGCACGTCAGTTGCAGGAGCCTCCCATCGATCACACGGTGTTTCGTCTTCTCGTGTGTCTTTTCCCCAACGCTGGGTTTAGAATAAAGGGGGCGAGGCTGATCAAACTCCCTCCGATGCTCATGAGTGCACGCCTTCTTATGTCTTCCTGTCATTCTCGCTCACTCACGCTGACATTTAGCACTTCATCTCTTTCCACTCCCTCCGCCCTTTCCCTGCACATCATAGCTTTCAGAAGAGACATATCTGCTCCAACAGAGTTGTTCTGAATTAATTAAAAAAAGAAATGGCTCTGCTTTGCCTGTTAGTTTTTTTTAAGAACTACTCACTCCGTTTGCTGTCTTGCTTAAATCATTTCATCCCCTTTGTTCTGCAGATCCTCCCCCCACCACTGCAGCCCCCAGCACCACCGCTTCCCCTTTCCACGACACCTCCGGAACGAACACAGCTCTGGGCCGGAAGAATGCCCTGTTCACCTCCCCCACCCGGGCCTCCATCCCTGACAGCAGCCTGGGCACCATAGTCGGCGGGGCGGTGGGTGGAGTTCTCTTCCTCATCCTGTTGTTGATCCTGGGCGGAGCCTGTTTCATGCGCCAGCGCCGAACCTTCAGAGGGGACTACTACACCAAACAGTACCTGGGACCCTCCGACATGCAGAAGGAGTCTCAGGTGGACGTGCTGCAGCCGCACGAGCTGCAGGAGGTTTACGGGGACAAAGTGAGCAAGGGCAGCCAGGAGCTGAAGCCCAAACTGGGCGGGGACATTATTTACCCCGACTACACCCCTGAGCGGAAGGACAGGGCCGACTGGGCCGACAGGGGGGACGAACACCGGGGCATCAAGGATGGAAACTACTTCACAGATCACTACAACACCCAGAACATGCACCCCTGTGGGCCTCCTGTACACAGCCCCATTGTGAACAACGGCTCCCCCTACCTCCCGGATGACTGCTATGACAATGGTACGGACAGCGACTACGTGTCCCACATGGACGGATCTGTGATTTCACGCAGGGAGTGGTATGTTTGAGGGAAGATGCAAACAGAACAATGGACATCTGACTGAGAATAGGTCAACAAGTGACAGATAAAAAGGATGTGTTATTTCTGTCAAAGATCAATTTTGAATTTTTTTCAGTTTCACAGTGAGCTCTTTGAGTAATCCAGCTCTGCCTTGATTGTAACCACTTAACCTTAAAGATATTTTTGTGGATTGTAGTACAGTTTTGCAGCGAAGAGCTGCAAATACGCTGGAACGCCTCAGAGATATTAACTGTTTTTGCTTAGGCATACAATGAAGTTTTGACTGATGTGAATGGGGTTTTGTGTTCTGCTTGTTTGTGTTTGCACCTGTCTTTTTTACAGGTCAGAGGTCAGGTGTTCAGACCTTCAATGGTGTAGTATTTATACCCCGGACTGACTGAGCTTTGCTTAAAAAAAACTCAACTTCTGTGGCGTTTAGAAAATGGTCTCTTGACTGCTTTGTGCGTTTTCACACGGATGAAATGTTTAACACGGCCGCAATCAGCATTTAAAGCAAATTTAATCGCATGTTTTTGAAACCCAAAAGTAACATTTAGTAAAAGGGAAAGTCACGTGATTAAAAGGGAGAATTGCACGGGCGTTGTACCGAGGGAAAAGCAGGCATCGATGGGAGTACATTACACTAAACTACATAAAACTTTTTGGTACATTTGTCCTTTTGCAAACTCTCAGAATGTCATGTAAGTCTGTGGAGTGGTTAAAGAGACCACTTCTTCTGAAAAGCACTTTTTCTCCTAAAATTGTTGTCTTAAAATTGCCGTTCATAATGGTTACCATCAGCAATTAAAACTTGAAGTTCAAGTACACAAACTCCACCAACCTGGGCTGCTTCAAAACAAACATTACTGAAACAATCCTTTTACTGCAGTCTGATTGAAATGCACATTACTCAGAAACATTTTCAAACATCTGCAGGATTGTGTAAAAAAAATTGCTTATCCGGACAGTTTTTGTGCAGCTTAATGCTGGCAGCTCTTCACATAAAAGTTCACTGCAGTTTCTTCTTCTTGTCATTTCTCACAAAAGCTAGAGTAGCAAGGTATTAAAAAAAAGGCGCAGGCAGTGAGTTCTGCTTTTGTCGTCAGACAGGATTGTAGGTTTATGCTAATTTTTCAAGTTGCAGCCTGACAGCACTTTTATCATGCTCTGCCATCTGAGAGCAGCACTTTTTCCCCAAAGAAATCAAGATTTGCCAGAATTCAGTGTCTTCTTTCCAACACAGTGGTTTTTATCTGGGGGGGGGGGTTCGAAAAATGAATCCAGTTTATTGATTTCCTCGATTTTTCATTCAGCGTTCATGCCTTAGGAGTGAACTACTCCTTTAAAACGTGGTTCAGTTTCACAGTAGATACAACCCGGAAATCACTGTTTGGTTTTGATTTCTGGTTGTGATCAGTGCTGATCATCTCTGTGGTTTACAGGTAAATACAGGTGAAACTGATGCGGTGTTAAGACTGTAAAGGCCGGTACATGTGAAGGTCAAGTGCAAGGCAGTAAGATCTAGTGTTCAACCGGAGCCTCTCAGTATCATCGTTTTTGATCGTTTCTGCTGGGCCAGACCTAAAAACCGGTTTCGTCTGGTGCAGGAGGCGTCTCATACAGACCATTTTAAAAATATACAGTTAGTTCCACTTTTAGATAAAATTGCTTCAACATAAATATGAAGTGAAATTAGGAAATCCCCTCATAGCTTTTCAGTTTGCTTCTATTTGTTGGTTTAAACTAACAGAATAGTCCGGTAGCACCGGGCAGGAGGTCAGAGCATCACTTTTATCAGTTGGATTAAAAAATACAGCTTAAAGCATGAAGATTTTCAGTTTTGATCTGTAGACTGTTGTTAAAGTGACAGAAATTCAGAATAAACAGCAACGGGTTCAGTCTGGTAAAGAGCTTTAATTTGATGTAATGATGTGGATCTCAGTCTGGAAAACCAACCAGGTTCTTAACCAGAACCAGGTAAGAACCAGCTCTAGTACCAGCCCTGGGACCTCTTCAGTGGAAAAACTAAATCGGGCACAGTAACGGCCTGAAAACCAAACCGCAACCGAGTTACACGCGTGTTCTTTAACTGTTTAAAAAAATGAGTCTGGATTACGGCGTGGACCATCACGGTCACCGTCATTTAAAAAAAAACAACTCAGCTTTAGCACAGCTCTCTTATTACAGTTTTCTGCAAACTTCAAAAACAGAGCAGCCAGGCTTAGGCCTTCTCCACCTAACCCTGATAACAGGCTTCTCCCCTGAAGGGTTCCTGACTCTTCCCTCTGAGATCAACACCAGTCGCTTCATATAGTTCTTATAAACGTAATAAATCTGTTACCAACACCAGATGTGACTCCAGCAGCTGTCATCATCTGACATTATGTGGCTGCGGAGACTACCAGATGCCGCTCGGCGAGCTGGTGTCATGCTTTGAGATGGCAAACACACACACACACACACAAAAAGAAAGAAACGAAGAGGGAGCGACGCATAAGGGATCCTTCTGTTTTAGGACGACTTTTCTTTATTCCAATCGGTTGGAAAGAGTGAGCAGCTGACGTCACTGCTGAACAGGCTGTAATGTTGAGGTTTGGCTCCTTCGAGGGATCCGCAGCGATCATGGAAACGAAACTCAATCCACCAGTCAAAAAAAAAAAAAAAAAAAGCTTCAGAACTGTGTAGGTCACAGCTGAATGTTTAATGCCTCCCCAAGGGTTGGAAACATGCATTTTTCTTTCTTTCATTTTTTTTTTATACAAACAACAAATCCTGTGAAATTAAGTAGAAACAAAAGAGCTGACCTCATCAGTGATCTCATCTCTCCATGCCTGATTTGACCTCACGTTTTTTTCCACTCAGCGCTTTGTTTCGTTTCCTCTGGAATGACACACGAATCAAAGGCGTTTTTGTTTAATCTTCTGTGAAAAGGAAAACCTTTGGAAGCATCCTCTGTTAGTCAGGGTGTTTGTTGCCAGAAAACTGACCATCCATGTGTGTTTAAAGGCAGAGTGTTGGCTATACTTTGAGGTCTTCCTTTTTTTATATATATTAGGGGTTTTTGTACATCTGAGTGCACTTCTCCACCCTGGTTTTCTCGTGCCAGGTCGAAGGTTCAGATGTCTTAGAATAAACCGCTTTAATCTCTTCAGCTCTCGCCCTCGCACACGCAGCGTTTGCCTCACATCTGCCACTGCAGCCCACATTCAAAGCGAGCAGTCCTCACCTCAAACCTTCGGCTTTTTAATCAACTTTTTTTTTATCACACTTGGCAGCAGAAGCGCTCATACCCCCGTGATATACTGCACATTCGTGTCTGCGTGCACTTTTCTTTTTTTTATTTTTTTATGACTGATTCTATGACTGAGCTTCAGTTACTTTTTAGGAAAGCCGCTACACGCAAACCGCCGAGGATCTTTAAATCTTTTATTTTGAAAAGGCTGATGAAAGAAAGCAACTTATGTGATGAATGTTTTTTTTTTTCTAAAAGTTGTTTTGGTTTGTTGCTCACGACTGGTTGCATGTACGGTTATTTGCTGCCAACAACGCTTTATTTTCTGTCATTAATGTTTATATACATGTACATACTTTGGATAGTATTAGAGTGGGATTCATATTTTGTTTCTTTTTTTTTTTACTTTCATGTTCTGTTTGTTCTGGACTTCCCTACTGAATAGCTAGTGCCTTAAATGGGCTGAGCAATGCACAGAAACTTTAAAAGCTGACAGCATTATTGCAAAGATATTAATGATATTAAGAGCGGACATGTTATCATAATGTGTATCCCATCTTCGTATTTAAGTTTTGTTGTTTTCAAAGCATCTGACTAGACTAAAGGTTGATTATCATGCCTTATAGGAGAGGACACGTGTAACAAGTTGGTTACAGAGAAAACTGTAATAAAAGGAAAGTTTCACTGGGAATTTATTCAAGCCAGACTTATAGAAAATATTGTCCTGTAAATATGCTGGCTTTTATATTATTATAAAAAAAATCTTATTTTTTGTATGAGGTCTGTAATTTTCACAGAATATTACTTTGTCCTATGAGCTTCCGCAGGGGCTCCTGTCTCACTAAGAATTAGATGGAGATCCTGTTTCCACTGCATTTTTGTATCTGTTCTCGGGAGTTTGACCAATTATTTTGTATGGTGTTCTTTGGATGATTGACGTCTCACAGGAGTCCGAGACGAACGGGTGGTAGATTACCTTTTTGTTCATTTCTTTGCAATAAAACCACCGTTATTGCACTCACGTGTGTCCTGGAATCATACTTTCTGAAAATGTATTTTAGAGTGAATAAATTTACAGTTAACGTGATTTTTTAAAATTGTACAAAATAAATAAATAAATAAATAAATAAATAA